TTTCACCCCAGCTCAAACGCCCATTTCAGAAGAGCAGGTGTTTTGTCTGCCTTGTACACCTCTGGCCTGGAGTTGACTCAAATATTTGTGGCCTGAATTACGGAAAAACAGCGACTGCCTGAGATCCCGTTCGTGCTAGCACTATTCCTGGAACTGGACAAGCAAGAAAGGCCGCCCCAGGTCCCTGTGCCAATGGAATTTTACTTGGCTCTGTGCACCCTTCAGGTTAAACATACCCTAGTCTGGTCATGAGTGGAGTATGCCCTAGATACAGTGAAGGTCAAGGTCTAGTGCCTTCTATGACTCAGCATCAGTTAAGTTTTTCATCTTCCCCAAAGAGACATGCAAATTGTATGGCTCCCAGGTTCAATTTGAGTAGCACAAAATTTGAAACTGATTAAATTCATGGCTATAATTGAGGCTATGGCCACAGGTTTATGTTTGCTCTCTCCCCCTTTGGGAAGAGGCAGGGAGCAAGAAACTTAATTTTTATCCTGCCTCCTAATATAGATACTTTCTCTGTCTCGTAGTGGTTACACGCTGGGCTGTGATCCACAAGGTCAGCAGTTCAAACCTACCTACCACCAGCTCCTTGGAGAAAGATGGGGCTTTCTACTCCCTTAAACAGTTACAGTCTTGGAAACTCTCAAGACTGTATAGAACTCTCAGTTCTATCCTGTCCTATAAAGTAGCATCAACTCGATGACAGGGAGTTTGTTTTTCTTTTTCTTTTTTAATTGTTTTAGTCTCAAGGTCCTATAGAAATCATCTTATTTGGCCTACTGTTTACTTTTCAGGAAAAAAAAAATTTACTCAGGCAGTTCTACCCTGTCCTATAGGGTCGCTATGAGCCAGCATCGACTCGATGGCAGTGAGTGAGTAGTTTGCCTTTAGCTCCTAAATGTAGGAGCTCAGTCCTTCCTTTGTCTCTCTAGCTTCTCCTTTGTTCGCCTACTAATCATGATGCCATCAGGGCTCACCTCTGTCGGTAACTCCAAAACACATATTCTAAAAGTGGAGCCCCCAAAAGGCCACGTCCTATGATTACTATGTAAACCCTGTAATTCCAGCCTAATATAATACTTATCACATTCTATTGTAGGTGTTTATAAGTGTCAGTTCCTCCCTAATCTAAGAGGCTATCGAATTCGTTGTGTTTTCCCAGTGCCCACATATAATACATAGGTATACTTAATTTTTAAGAATTAATGGTTTTAAATGTCTAAAGTATATGATAGGAGAAATGTGCTTTAATTAAATAAACATACCAGTGCTGCTGGCAAGGTTGAAAATTACTCCTAAAATCGATAGGAATAAAAACCAATTTGTCCATAAAAAGACAATGAGGGAAAAAATGATCCCTTTGAAACAACTACAAAGAACAAAACAGGTTCACAGTGGTTTGTATCAACAGTGTGCATTTCATGACAACCCAAGTTCATAAAGTACCCTTATCCAGAGGCTTAGAGAGATTAAGTGACTTGCTTCAAGTTACATAATTTGTAAGAGTCAGAACCAGCATTCCTTATTTATTTATCTTGCCCTCTTTGGTTGCAGCATATAAGTGCTCTTCAAAATGTTCATGGGAAAACTGAGTTAAAACAAAATAGAATTTTTCCATAAACATTTTGAAGTCCCTTCATACACAACCGCACATATCCGTTTACAATTTCTACACAAACAGTTTTGTGACACTGGTTGCATCATATTGCGTCATCTGTTAATACGTCTACCTGTATTGTCTCAGTAAAGTAAATCACCTGATGTTAGTTTGAACTCACACAGAGAATTCTTTCAAAGAGCATAATGCACAGGTAAACGTTCTTAATTAGGCTAAACTATTACTTAGTATAACGATGGCTTAATGGGATAGATTTGGTCATGGTTGAAAGATTTTTTTTTTCCTGGTATTACATTCAGGGGATCCTGTCAATGGATCCAGGAAGTCTGGTTTCCTATACAGTAATTGGAAATTCTGCTTCATGCTTTTTCTCTTTGTGATCTCTTGGATTATTCATCAAAACGGTCTGTAATGGTAACTGGGCACCATACCTTCTGTCTCATGCTAATGGAGGTAGTAGTTTATGGAGGTAATTAAACCTCAGATAATTTTCTTTGCCAACTCCTGGGTCTCTTTCTTCCTTTGCTATTACAGCCCAGTAGAGGCCAGTTGTTGTATTTGACCACTCATAAGCTTTTTTTTTTTAAAATCACATATTGGGGGCTCTTACAACTCTTATTAAAATCAACTGTATCAGGCATGTTTGTACATATGTTGCCATCATTCTTTTCTAGACATTTACTTTCTATTGAGCCCTTGGTATCAGCTCCTCTTTTCCCCCTCCCCCCCACCCTCATGGCCCCTTGATAGATTTTAAATTATTATTTTCATATCTCACACCAACTGCTGTCGCCCCCCCATGATTTCTGTTGTTCTTCCCCCTGGAGGGGGTGTGTGTGGTTATGTGCCGATCATTGTGATTGGTTTCCCCTTCCTCCCCTCCTTGCCCACCTTCCTCCTACCCCATCTCTCCCCACCTTCCCCCTACCCTTCTGGTATCTCTATTCCCACTCCTGTTCCTGGATTCCGTGTGTCAGGAGCTCTATCTCTTATCTACACCTGTGTACATGCTCTGGTCCAGTCCAGAATGAGAAGCAGCACTAGAGTAATGACTGGGGGGTGAGGAAGCCTCAAGGAACCAGAGGAATATTGTGTGATCTTTGGTGCTCTTTTGCACCCTGGTTGACTCATCCCTTCCCCGCGACCCCTCTGTGGGGATGTGCCATTGTCTACAGATGGGCTTTGGATCTCTGCTGCGACCCCCCTTTTTCTCAACAATGTGTTTTTGTTTGTGGGTTTGTTGTTTGTTATGAATCTTCTGATGCCTGTTACCCCATCCCGATGACACCTTAGGATCGCATTGGCTGGTGTGCTGCTTCCATGCGGGCTAGTTGCTTCACTGCTGGATGGCTGCTTGTTTAACTTAAGACCCCAGACGCTATATTTTTAACAGTCGGGCACCATCCACTTTCTTCACCACATTTGCTTATGCACCCATTTTGTCTTCAGCAATTATTGGGGGAAGGAGGGGTGAGCATCACAAAATACCAGTTTGTTAGAACAAAGTGTTCTTGTATTGACGGAGGGTAACTCATAAGTGTTTAAGACCCTGTGTTAGCCTGGGTTGTGTAGAGAAACAAACCAGTGACACTCATCTATGCACAGGAAATACTTTTATATCAAGAAGCAACTTACATCAAGAAGGCACTCCAGCCCAGTTCAACTCAAGTCCATAGGTCCAATGCTAGTCAGGGCCCTTGTCCGTAGCTACAGGCTGATAACACAGAAAGATGAAGCGGGAAGCAGGGAGTTCTCAGGCTGGTGAGTGCAGAGTCATGTGGATCCAAGGTCAGTGGATGCATGGCAGGGCTCCAACAGCTCTCAGGGTCCCCACTTGGGGCAACCCCTGGAAGCAGACACAGATTCCCAGTGAAGTCCCAGCAAGGAGGAAGACAAAAGGATACAGTGGAATCCTTGCTTTTTTTATTTTATCTTGCTTTTATACAAAAGGCCACACCCACAAGGAGCTGTCATCAAGCTACTACTTGATTGACAGACTGAACTCAGTACTCATCAGATAGAAGAGAAACTTAAAAACCAATTGACCAGAAAGACTGACGAAGCTTTCTTAGGCCATCTTGGTCTGGAAGTTCTCTTGAAACTTGATCAGCATCAAAGAAAAACACAAACTTACACCGACAGATGGGTAGTAGCAACACATTCATGTACATCGGCTGGGATTTAACCTCATTCACTCACGCATTTACTCACTGTCATTAAGTAGGGTCCGACTCATAGCAACCCTATAGGACAGAGTAGAATTGCACCTGTTGGTTTCCAAGACTAACTCATTACGAGAGTAGAAAGCCTCATCTTTCTCCTGTGGAGGATCTGGTTCTTTCAAACTGTTGACACTGTGGTTAGCAGCCTACTGTTGTAACCCACTATCTACCAGAGATTTAA